GCAGTGGAACACTTCTATATTTTGACATCTATTAATACATTACAAAGAACAAATTGTCAAGCTATTTAGGTTCCCACTTTTAACCTGCCCTCTAAAATTCCTTTGTAACAAAGAGGAAATAAGTTTAGCCCAGCTGCAACTTTATTCCTTTCTTCCATGCCTTAAATAAAGAATCACCTTACAATGAGCTCTTTGCCTCTCCGATTTCTCCAGTCCAAGGTGGTCCAGCAAGCAGGCCCTGGATAAAGGCTTAAAGCACCCTCTGCTATTCCTGGCTCTGACACTGACCTGCTGCAGAGAGGGCAGCTTGGTTGACATCTCCCTGACTCTCCTTCCCCTCCAGCCCCTGTTTACCCTGGCTATTTAGGCAGCAAGCTCATCAGGACAGAGACTGCTCTTGCTGGGCCTGTACAACAGCTGGCAAAACAGACACAGACTACAGGACACAACTGTAATATCACTACATCACCAAAACCCCCAAAGGCTTTGTGTTATTACTCAGCTACAGTTTAGCTGCAGAAAGTGTTGTTAAGTCTTAACTTTTCTGTGATATGCTGCCACGCATTTTTGAAACAAAAAATTCTCCTTTCACCTTAGATCGTGAAGACATGGCTCAACTTTTACTTCAGCTGCTCCTATGACTAAGTAAAGCAAAAATCTTAGCATAAGGACTCTCTTTTTACCATCCTCCTGACAAGGTCTTGTAGCAGTACAGATCTATCTATAAAATTAGCTTGTTTATACAGAAAAAGTGAAAACCTGATCTGGAGAGACTCACAGTTCAGATGCCAAGAAGCACATCCATGTAAAGCCACTCTGTACTTCCATAACAGTGACACAATATTCTATTGAACATTTAGTTACTGCTGATTCAATGATGAAACAGCACATTTTTAACACTGAGAATGTGCTTTAAGAACTCTTCCAGGTCAGCCCCTACCATCCTAACACAGGGACTCAGGTGAATGTGAACCTTAGTGATTCTCTCCCCTCTGCCAAAGGGATGAAGTGTACAGATACATCCCTCAAAGCAAACTTCTTTCTTCTCCTACAAGTGCACAATTGAATTAAGCGCCTTAAACACTTAACTTGGCTTACATCTGTGACTCCCATTTGGCTGAATCTACCAGAAAGTGAAAACATTAGAGACTGTCAATGTTGTGAATATGCCTTTCAGCATAACAGCCAGTGTCTGGGCTTAAGTCCACACCTTCCTTTGACTTCATTAGCAACTTAATTTAATATTGTTTAAGAACAAGCACATGCCCAGAGATAACCACAGCCAGCACTTTTTAAAAGTATGTAGCCAGAATGACCATTTTTTAAATTAATTTTTTTTAAAATATATTACTATTTTTCTTCTCCATGCTGCTAACAGCTAGAAGTTTGCAACCAGTTTCTTATCAATCTTACCACTTCCCTATTTTGGCAGAAAGAAGTTTAATAAGCAAGCTGACTGTTCAAACAGTTTTTTTCACATAGGAGATAAAGCTTGTTTCTTCTGATCCTTGTTGTGACAATTATCTGAAGATATACCCAAAAGAAAAAGCATTTTAAAGAAAGAGTGTAATTTCCCAGTTAATCACCTTTTTAAAAATGGGAAAGTGGGGGCAGGAGTTAAGTTTCACAGCTATCTCCTTTAGGCTCAAATTTATTGCTATTTACAAAGCATTAACAGATGGCTTATCAAAAGCCACTTAACAGCAGAAATGATCAAACTATTCTGAGATGGATTTTTGTCTTAAACTGTAAATACTCCCTAGACTAGTTTTTAACTTATGCCAGCCTCCCAGGGACCATCAGTTTAAGATCTAATGTGAGAACCATGCATGTTATTTCATTAAGTATATTAACCATAAACGGTTCCAGCCTTTGCTTTCTCAACTGCAAACAGTATTGCACAAAAACCTCTCAAAAGTAAAAACTAGTGTTCACCTGCAACATTAGCCAGAACATGCAACAGAAGCTTCAGCTCCTGAATGAGTCAAAGCCAAGTCTGACAAACTCAAGAGTTATTCCATATTGCTAAGAGAGCACAGTTATCAAGGTCCAGCTATCCAACATCTTCATCACCATTCTATTTTCACAGTAATATTTTAGCTTAAATACCTACTCAGCTCAAATTTTACCTTCAACAAGCAATCTACCAGGTCCCTACTTAAAATTGCTATTAAGAAGGATGGTGTGCGCAGAAACTTGCCTAAACTCCCTCCCCAGCTTGTACTGATTACTCAAATAAAATACAGCATCTCTCTGCAAATCTTACTCACTCAACTGCAAGAGATTGCTCTTGGAGACACAAGGAGCAAGTGCTACAGAAGAGACATGGCTAGTTAAAACCCTTCAGCTGCCACAGAGACTATTAAACTCTTCTTCAGCTAAGTACAAATTGTACAGCTGTATAACTCAACACATGCAGCCATACTGGTTCTTCTGCAGATGTTCAGATATCCAGAAATCCTGGTTCTGCAATATGCCCTTGCCTTGTATCTGTTGCCAAACTCTACCCTACTGGAGTAAAACTCCTGCAGCTGCCCCAGGTGCTGGATCTCCACCCAGAGATCCAAAACAAGTGTTTGTTTTTCAGGTATTCTCCATAGGATTTGATACACTATTTCAAGGAACTGGAGACTGAGCTTTCTATGAAGTTAAAAGTAATTAAAGGAATCATCCTCTAGATATATCTCAAGGCTTCTTCACAACCACTTGCAATGTAACTTAGTGTGTTACCTATGATTGAACTCCCCAGGACCAAGGAAATGCTGACCAATGCTAAAAGCAGCCCTCAGTAGTGGAGTTGTTTGAGGAAAACTTGAAAATAGGACACAGCACAAAAGTACATCCTAGAATTACTAAAAAAAAACCTCTGTTCACAGCAAATCTAACAGCACTGAAATCCCTGTGAGTTCATGATACTCAAGCAGCCTTCCCTTCTCTGAAACCCTCTGACCTAGCAAATCTCTTCTGTAGCTGTTTATAGACCTGCATTCCTCTGCAGGGGGAAGTGGTGGTCCTTACACACACTGCACCTGCTCTCCTGTACACCTGATCCCTCCTGCAACTGAAGGAGCAGAGTATCACCTTATTCTTAATGAAAAATACAGAACTTCATTTCCTCAGGAGACAAAATCATATATCACAGTAGACAAGAGTCCAAAGCACAGCCATTCCACAGTGCTTATTCCCCCTGACTTGCATGGGAACTTTGCTTAACTTCCAACCTGTGAACACTGAGTGGGTTGAAGTGCTGGCCTGAAAACCCAACACAAGGATTTTCAGCACCAGCAAAGTTCTGCTCCTGCCAGCAGAAGCCATAATTGTTTCTCTAAAGTCTATGCATTGATGAGACAGCAAGATCAGACAGCAAAACAAGGGTCAAAACTCGCCATCCTTTCTTTTGAGTCATGTCAGCAGAGTGTTTACGGAAACAATACTGAGTCACTGAATGACAAACAAGATCCATGCTGGCAGCTAAAGAGAAGCCATAGGAAGGGATTCGTAGATCCCAACAACACAAACTTCTCTTGAGATCCTTAAATGAGGAAGGAAGGCTCACTTTGTGAAGTTGCCTCCAAGTGGCATTTGGCACACAGCCAAATTTGAGAGAGGAAAGGCAAACTCTGGATCATCACTAAGCAGGGCCCAAGGCCCAAAGGTACTTCATCTAAGAAAATGTTGGTGTCATACACACTGCAAAGCCTAGAGGGCTTGACCCTATTCCTAACCTGTGCTCTGCTGTTGAACTGGGGAAAAAAACTCAAATAATTCCTACTCACAAAACTTTAAAACCCAGAAGCTATGAAAAGTCCAAGTGTCACTTTCTCTGTGCCAGCCATCACCATTCATACCAGCAAGCTGCTCTGAGAGAACCTAAGATATGTGTTCCTGGGGGCCCACAAAAGCTCTTTCACCTAAGAATGTGCTGAGCCCACTCTCCAGCCTTTTCCCAGGATGCTGTCCCAGGCCTTGCTCCCTTGCAGCTTCTTCTCTGAGGTGCTTTTAAGACCATGGCAGAGATCACTGCTCAGAAGTGGGGAGGGCATGTGGGCATACAGGATCCATGCCAGCTGCACACAGCTCCATCTCCTTGTGCTCCAACCTCCCCTAGCCTGAAGCCCCCAAGCCTCAGTGTTTGGAGGGGTCTGGGGACTGAGAAGATCACAAAATCACAGAGTTATTAGGGTTGGAAAAGAGCCCTATATATATAATCTAGCCAAGGCAGGGTGACCTAGAGCAGGTTACACAGCCATGAGTCCAGGTGGGATTTGAATGTCTCCAGAGGCAGACTCCATGCCCTCCCTCGGCAGCCCATTCCAGTGCTTTGCCACGCTCAGCATAACGTTCTTCCTCATACAGAGGTGAAACTTCGTTTGTTTTAGATTATGGGTGTCGCTATTCATCCTGTTGCTGGCACTTGCCTTTGAGATACTTAAATGCATTGATGAGATCCTTCTCAGTAATCTCTAGACTGAACAGGCCTGGCTCCCACAGGGGAGAGTTCCAGACCTCTTATCATTGTTCCTGGCCTCCGCTGGACCCTCACCCGTAGCTCCCTGTCGTTCTTGTATCGAGGAGGCCAGAACTGGACACAGCTCTCCAGACGTGGAGAAGGCCTCACGCTCCAGCACTCCCGCTGGGCCTGCCATTGAGACACCCCGCACAACCCCCGCCATCCCCGCCGCTCCCTCGTGGGGACAAGAGGCGCCTCCCCCACCACTCCGGGCAGCGCCGGGGCTGGGCCCCGCCACCCGGCGTGCGCCCTCGGCCGCTCCCTGCCAGGGAGGCCCTTCCGCGCCCTCGCCGCCCCTCCTGGCGCAGGGAAAGGGCGGCGCAACCGCTCTCGGGGAATGGCCCCGCGTCCCCCGCCCCTCGCGGCCCAGCGGCGGCCACGCCAGGCGCGCAGCGCGGCCCTGGCAACCGGCTGGGCCGCGGCATCCCCGGCCTTTCCGGGCCGCCGCCGCCGCCGCCCCCCGCCCTTCCGCCGGGAAGGCCGCGCTTACAGATCGGTGCCGAGCTGGGTGAAGCCGGAGTTGAGGCAGCCGCGGGCTATGCGCCTCCAGAGGACATCGCGGCTGCTGAGGAAGCGCAGGCGGCGGCAGACCTGGGCCAGGCGGCCCAAGGCCTGCGCGTCCAGGTAGGAGCAGATGAGGAGCAGCAGCTCCTCGGGTAAGGCCCAGAGCGGGGACGGGGGGGAGGCGGCCCGGGATCCCCCCTCCGCCTGGGGGGACCGGGGGCTGCCCTTCCTCCCCATGGAGCAGCAGCTCCCGCCCCTCCTCCCCGGGAGCCGGAGCTGCTGCTGCCCGGGGGAGGCCAAGCCATGGACGGGGCAGCCGCTCCCCAGTCACATGGGGCAGAAGCCGCTGCCTGTCACTGCCCCCTCCAGGGGAGGAGGCGGCTGCCGGGACCGGAGGGGGCACGGGCCGCCGAGCCCCCCCTCGTTAGCCGATTAATTCATTAACGGGAGCCGCTTGCCCTCCCCCGCACCCCCTCGCCACGCCACGACCGGCTCACGGGTCTGTGTCTTCCGCTCTGGGCTTAGCAACGTCACCTGATCCGAGTATTCCTTAATAACGTGAACAATTCATGGTGGAGATGGTGATCCCAGGTAACCAGAACATCTGCCTCGCCACCTGGAGCAACACCAGCTAGGTACTGCAGTCCTGCAAAGGAAGGTGAACGGCAAGGTGATTTAATGCTCGTTAATTATCCTTGATCAGGGTCAGAAGCGCCTGTCACCCACAGAGTGACAGCAGGGGTCATCTGGTGCTGCACAGCAGTTTTCAACACTCCCAGATCCCCATGACACATAAAAGAAAGGATCTTCTCCACATAAGAGCAGGCCTTGCTACAATGGATTTAGGGCTGGCTTTTCACCTGCACCCTTCCTTGCAGACCATTCCCACCCCCTCCAGAGCTCTACAGAGTGGTTGGGGTCTGAAGAGTGCCCACAGTTCACACGTGTGTGTACACATACACAAGCACACCACCTCGAAAGAACAGTTCATAATAACTGAGTCATTGTTGCCATCCACAGGAGCCTGGAGTACTGACAACGCAGGATTCTGGTCCAAAATGGCAAAGTAGCTCTCCACAGACAATGGAGCAGGAAAATATGAGTCTAGTGTTGTGTTATTCTTTCTTACAGTACTTTCAACTCTACAGAAGCCTGAAATGCTGGGGAAATTTCTTCCTCAGAATAAAAAAAAAAAAAAAAAAGATAAATTATAAGAAGTTCATCATCTGCCTAGAATGCTTTGAACAGGTATCACTTAGCCACCACAATCAACATCTCATGTTGCAGGGTGGAGTAGGATAATAAATTTTAGCATATAATGAGGTTACCATAGTATACAGGCCACTTGACAGTACTTGCATCCTATTCCAGAAAGTCATCTTGTCTGTCTAATCTGAAGCTCCCAAATACTGCTATGAATAAATCAACAGGTCTAGAAGCCTCGTGTTTTAGAATTCAAAACTGCTGGATAAGGAGCTCTCTGGTCCATTTACACTGAGTTTTAATATACCCTGGAAGTCAAGGAAGTTTCAGAAGCAGATTTTTTTATCACCATTTTCAAGGAGTGATGTCTGAAGTAATTAAAAATTTCTCAACCTGAGTTTGAGCTCAGGTGAAATTAACAGCACATCTAGTACAGGACTTAAGTAGCCAGCTGAAAGGGAGGTAATACAACAAATTTTCCTTAAGATTATGGAAACTTTGTGTGAATGCAATTTTATGTCAATTTCATATCTTTCTGATAACACAAAACTTGTTCTTTTTGTAACAGACCACAATACTTTCTGAAACATTAAAATTATTGATTAAAATAAAAGCTTTAAAAGCTGAGTGACTTCTCTGTCTGAAATTGTTATTGTAAAGACATACCTATTATCAAGTTGGTCTTTCTCTAGTAGGATCCCACAGAGACTGCTTGTGCACCCCACACTATTTAAGATATTTACTAACAACCTGAAAAAAAATCTGAAATCCTTCTTAGCAAAACTTTGTAGGAGGCACAAAGCATGGAGCAAGAGGCAAAGGATGCTTATGGCTGCATAGCCCTAAGTTAAGTTAAGGCATAATCACATCATATGTATTTCAATCAAGCCAAATGTAAAGTCTCACATCTAGGAACAAAGAATGTAGGTCACACTGAAAGGATGTAACTCTATCCTGCAAAGCTGCAATTCCTTAAAGACTTCATTAAGATGAATAATCAGCTGAACGTGAGCTCCTTCTGCTGTGCTGTGACCAAAGGGCTAGTGCTGTCCTGGGAACAAACAGGAGCTCAGAGTTCTTTTACCTCTGGTTTTGACTCTGTTGTGACTCTTTTGGAAATAATTTGTCCAGACAACACTTCAAGAAGGATGTTTAGAGGGGTTTCAAAGAAGAGTAGTAAAGAATGATTACAGGACTGTCAAACATGTTTTGTAGTAAGACCCAAAGAGCTCAATCTATTTTAGCTTTCTAAAGAGAAGGTTAAGGTGTGAGGTGATCATACCTTATGAGCACTGAAACAGGAAGAAAAATCTGGATCTTCCATTTAACAGACAAAGAGATAAGATCTCTTGACAGAAGGTGATGGGAAACGAAGTCATGAATGAAGTGTGCTTTTGTAGTCAATAAAATCAACTGTTGAAACAGCTTACCAAGATTTATGGTAGATTCACCATTAATGGATTCATAAAAAACAATACCAGTTGGGTTTGGTTTTGAGCTTTTATCCTTTGAGAGAGAGAGAGAGTGAGTGAGAAGCTTGACAACAACTGCTAAAACTTCACCAGGAATTGACCTGGGTAGTCCTAACTCAGGATATCAGACCAAGACAGCCCAAGGCGTCTCTTCTAGTCTTAGGCTCTCTTACTCTACAGAGGCAACATGTGCATTGTGCATCTCCTGCACTGTGTGGCACCCAAATTCCAGTGGACAGTCTCCAGCCTCTGGCTGTGCTGCTTTACCAAGGAAAACTACTTGGTGCAGACCAGAAGGAGCCTGGGTGCAAAGTACATGGGCAGTATGACGTCCTGGGATGCCAGGCCCAAGGTATGGACAAGTGCAAGTGAAGAAGGGGGGCCTTGGTGCCTTCCAGTCTGTAACCCAAGGTATAAACAACTGTGAAAGATTTGGTTAAGATGGAAGGTGTTTACACCCAGTAATCTTGGAGAAGGTCAACTACGCTCCAACAAGGGGACACAGAGCAGTATGAAGAAAAAAATTACAATACGTTCCTCTTAAACATGGCATTGTTTTAAAGTATGGACCATAGTCTTACAACATAGTAACAATAGTTATTTTTTGCCCAAAATGTAGGTGCCATCCGTTACTTTCTCTGGGTTCTTTTTTCAGAGAAATACACCAGCAACTGCTTACCCTTACACACACTTTCTCAGGCATGGTTTTGGGTTCTGCCTGTTGCAGAGCTGTCACAAAGCTGTGCATTGCAGACTGAGAACCCCATAGCCTTACTCTGCATTAATGCCAAAGTAAGTGCTTATGTAAGTGTCTGCAGGAGCAAGAACTGAGGAAGGTTCTGAACCATTCCTAAAACTGTATGTGTAGCATGATTATTTTGCACTGCATTGTTCACACTCTAATAAAGGACTTGAAGCAGGTGCTCTGTGCAGTGTAAGCATAATAATGTATCATTCCCAAATCTTACAAAGATCCCAGTCCTTTTCATGGCTCATGACCAGTCTGAACCTCTAGAAGAGGGGGTAGGGTTCTGTGCTGAAGTAGCAGACCATTCCAGTATCACAGCTTGTAAACTAAGAATCAGGGGGCTTATGTCTGCACAGCCTTAACAGCATAAGTCAATGAAATCCAGCTTGGAGAAACACCATTTGAATACCTGCCTGTCAATTTTTTTTTTCTGTCTTCAAGGGGTTTTATTATTTGCAGTGCCCTCAAATACACCTTTCCACCTAAAGACACATTCATGTGGACAGCTCTTTGTTTTGTTTTTCCTTCCAACCAATGCTTTTGTGTATTTCTGAAACTTAAGACACCTCTTCTGCTACTACAGTACTTATCTGTAACACCATCGCTTTGAGGGATTAAAGCAGGTTACTTGTTACACACTTAGATCAAGAGTTATCTGAGTAGAAAGTCTATCCCGTTAGGGTTGGCGGAATCTGTTTTTGATCTTGAGTTGTTTTGATTTTCTCTAAGAGCAAGTAACATGTTATTTTAACTTCTGAATAAGGTGTGCTACCTGACTGTGTCTCTTCTGTTTGGCAGAAAGGATTAGAAACCTCCACAGAACTTGCACTCTATTAAAGCAGAGTGCTCACCATTGAGAGCCAAGGAGCTGAATTGTTTTCAGATTATATGTGTGTGTGTGTCTTTCCCACATCAAAGACTTTGATGGAAGCTGTTCACGCTATTGTCAGGAATGCAGGGATTGGCACAAAGGTGATTAGCAAAATTGCTTTTCTGTAGGAGAAGCACAAAAATTATCAAAGGATTAAAGAGGATAAAATTAAAAGGTTATGCTGAATTTGGGGGCAAATTTTCTGCTTTTAAATTTTCTCCCAAATTATACATATTGATTTGGTTTTACCTATAAAATATTTGCCAGAAGAAACCACGATTAGAAGCTGTTTAATACAGGTTCTGTTAAAGGGAGATGAAAAAATCTTCCCTTAAAAATATTCTGAACAGACCCTATTCCAAAACCCATCCACAAGAAGCTTTTGATGAATACTATGGGCACACAGCTAGCAGCCGTCCTTAAAATGTTCTTAACAGCCACAGGACTGAGACCTTTAGTCATGATTATGCTGAAAATTATGATAACAAACAATTCCATAAAGCAGTTTGTCATCAGTGATGCTGTTTGTTTACTTTTCTCACTACACTCTGCTGACAAAGATACTAAACTGAGGGGATCACTTTCATTATCCACTTGCTAGGCACATGCAATGCTTTTGTATTTTGATCAAGCAGCTGAGCTGCTTGAATGGTTTGGGAAAAAAGGCAATAAAAAGGGATTCTCGAATATTTTAGTGTATCAAAATGAACAGAGCCTTCCAGAATCTTTCTTGCTTGGCAAAACTGCAGTGCAATAAAAAAAATATATCACCTCCCATAGCCAGCAGAAGTGTCTCATCTTACTGGTTCAGACTCTGCTTATAGTGCATTTTATTTTGAAGAGTCCTCTGTTATTTGCTAAGTACAAGCCATATACCTATTTCTTGTCTTTGCATTTTGAGTTTTGTTTGTTTGTTTTACTAATCTGTTCTTCCCAGGAAGTCACCCGGAATATTTTATTTGTTTTAAACCTCATTTATCAAAGTATTATCTAAAGCATCAGTTCAGAAAATGTTCATTTTAACTGTTTTCCCAACAATGACCTTCTTCCTCCCCCCCAGGCCACATCAAGTTGTCATTCACCAGACAGCTGTGGAATTTGGAATCATTCCTTTTAAACACTTTACAATTCCAAATGGTAGATTTCTAATGGCACAATATGATTGCCACAAAGATCTTTAAATTTCCCAATCCTCCAGGCTTCAAAGGCTGGACCGTCCTTGATCTCCTGAAGGAATGCTTTTGAATCTTGTTCTTTTATAGGGGCTACCTATGAAGATATTTTAGGGGCTTTTTCCTTTTTGTACTTAAAACTTGAGGAACTAAACATTCAAATACCGCTGGCATTTTTGGGAGTGAGATCAAGACATACAAAGTTGTTTCTAGGGATTCTCAGCTCAGTTTTTATTAATTCCACAAGTAGTTCCAAAACTTTTTGGAGTATTTATAAAGCAATATAAATATTTTTGTGTAGCAGTGACTGTGACGCTGTTTTATCCTGCATTTTCCTTCTACCTACATGGCTACATTGTGCAGTTCCTCACCTGCCTTGAGCAAGTCTGACAGTGCCCTGACTCATCCTGTGTCCATGGGTACAGAGGGGTTCATTGCTCTTGGAGGATTCACTGCTGTCATATCACTTACAAGGTAATAGTTTGTTTAAGAAAGGTGAGCAAACCTAATCCTACAAATGGTTTTGGGTCTGCCTTGACCAGGCAAGCAAGACGGAGCCTAATTACCTGCAGCAACTACAAATAAGCAAAATTATTAGAGTCCTAGGCTTACTTCTCTCTTTTTCTACAGTCAGAGGAAACATTTCACTATTTGTCCTTTCTTTCACAATAGGATTTCTCAATCTGGAAGCTGACATTTTTTATTTCTTGCTGGCTAATTCTATTTCTTACTACTGAAACACAAAATTCATTAATTTGAAGTTAAGAGACTTACAGTGCAGCAACAGGAATCTGGCTGGTGCTAGAAACAGCCTTTCTTTCTATTCAGTTCAGCTTATGCCAACCCATAAGGCAGGTTTTATCCTCTCTCCTCTTAAAAATGAAGCACACATATAAATAAAACAAACAAGGACAGTATCCCACTGTCCGCACACAGTAGGTCCTAGTGCTGCAGCAGAGCACCTTGTGCACAGTCCTACCACACAAATTCATGATAGATTTGTGGTCTTCAGCTAGTACCCACCTTGGGGAAAGCACTGTCCTTTCTGTGCCCCTACAGTACCTCACACGACATGACCTCTGCTGTGACTGAGCCTCTCAAGTATTGTTAGAAGGAGCAATTAATGCTTTGTCAGTGCAGTAAGTGTATGTTTAGATACCCCGTGTTGGTAGTGCATGTGATTTTTAAATAGTCTGCAGCCTAACCTCAGGTTTTGTGACGACAATAACAAACTGCAGGAACCACTGATTACTAACCCAG